TACGACCCCGCCCAGTCCTGGACTATGCAGCCGAAGCTGTCTTCCCAAGGTGTGTATGTGTGCGTATGTGTGTGTATGTATGTCTATGTAACATATCGATCCGGGCCTGCCGCTGGCCAGGGGCACCTAACCGTACCCCAACGGGAACGACCGCCGAAGCACTGTATGTGTGTATGTGTGTGTACGTGCGTGTATGTATGTGCATGTTTGTACGTGTGTATGTGTGTGAAGGCTACAAGTATCTGACCGGGCCTGACACTGGCCATGGGCAGCTGCCCAGCCACAATGGAAAGACCCCCTAAGCTCTCTCCCGCGGACGGGAGAGGGGCGCGAGGGGTCTCTGCCCCCAACTAAGTAGCCGAGAGCCGCAGGTCCGCTAGCTCCGCTCGCCTCCCCCGGGGATGGGAGCCGACGCACGCGCGCACGCGCTCACGAGTCAAGGCTCTGTCACGAGAGTTTGCGCACTGAGCCTGAAACACGAAACAAGACTCCTCTCCATCCCCGGCCTGATCCGGCTCTTGCGTTGAGGGTTCACTAAGACAGAGGGAACCCGGAAACCCTGCACAGACCCTACCTCTCCCTACTAGACACGAGGGCCTATTAGAAAGCTCGGTCTCTCACCCCATTCTCCATTGGCGGGGGAGCGGGCAGGGTTCAGGAAACTCGCGCTAACCACACCTCGAGCGCACGCGACGGGGGCCAGGCACGGCCTAGGCTAGGGGCTATCAGTTCACCGACGGGGCTAGGGATGCCTCGAGGCAGCACCACACCACTCGAGGCACAACTCACACAGCGTCACCCAGTCTGCTCTTCTGCCATCCCCTTCGCCTGCGACTTCCTCCCCAGTCCTACAGCAGCGACCTCACAAATATGTGTGTATGTGTGAGCTCTCGTGTTGTCGTGCTGTCGTGCATGTGAGGAGCTTCCGTGCAATCCTAAGTGAGAACGTTAACGCAAAGGGCGCTCTTGCTTGACTGAATCACTCACTGCTTGAATACATGCTTACCAAGCTCGCATAGTGGGGATTGCAACAGTACCCTGCAACAGCAACAGCAGCAGCAGTGGCAGCGGGTGCTAAAGTAGCAGCAGCAAAAGCAGCTGCGAAGCCATACACCACCACCTGCGGTTAATGATTTACCGTACTTGCTTCCTAATGCTGATCTTCCCCTCTTCCCCTCTTCCCCTCTTCCCCTCTTCCCCTCTTCCCCTCTGCTGGCATCAGGTTGCTATTGCAATGCCACAGACAACGCGCGGTCGTTCCGGTGCGCCGCGGGGCTCCGCTGCAGTCGGGCCGCCTTCCTGGGCCTGGAGACCGACGCATTGAGGAGCCCCACAGGCCTCCTGTTCAGGGCGCTGTGTGTCACTTGCGAGCTGGGGGAGTACTGCCCCGAAGGCACGTACGTCAAGGTATGGTATACGACACATTCCGTACTCGATGTCGAGTTGGGTGCCAAACGCCGCCTGAGAACACCGCCACCGCCGGTCATTGACTCAGAACGGGTCGGTGACTCACCGTCCGATGCCTCGCTGCCTGACTGACCCACAACATGAATCCCATGGGTATGGATCCTTTCGCAGGACGAGGCGCAGAAGAATTCCCTGGATTGTCCTTCCGGCTACTTTTGCCCCACGCCGGCGGAGATGTACGAGTGTCCGGCAGGGTTCTTCTGTACGGGCCGTACAATTGATCCCGTAACTTGCGATATACAGGATCTGATGCTCACGTGAGTATCTCGAGCCAGAAGAGCGGGGGGGGGAGGTTGAAGGGGACCCGTGCAGGAGGCACGAGGGGGGGAAATGGGAGGCGACGAAGGTGTGGCTGATGGAGATGGGCATTTCCAGGGCATGATTCGTGTTGTGTATGTACGACGTACACGAGGCACCTACCCGAGGAAGTCCCTGCTCTCAGGGTCTTCATGTTATACTGTTCTTGCCAAGGAAATAATGTTAAGGTGCAAAAATCGTTCAATAAATGATTCGTTCGTTTATTCATTTAGACAAGGATGATGATGGCCTCCCGCGTACCCGCTCTATGGCCCCCCGGCTTTTACGGACACACCCGCACCTGTGTGCGGAACTTGTAACTTGTAACTTGAGAAGGAGGAAACTTCGAAGATACCGTTCTTCTCCCTGACCTTAACCTCACCGCCATGCGCTCCCTACCTCCCTCCCTACCTACCTCCCTCCCTTCTTACCTCAGAGATCCCAATCAAGAGCTGCCCATGAAGCCCGACACGGTGATCGAGCGAGTACGCGACAAGCATGACCCTGTTCGCGGCAACACCTGCCCGGCCGGGTCCACCAGGCCCAATGATCTCTGCAGGTCGGTCCGTCTGTCGTTCTGTCTGTCCGCCCCCTTTCATTCGGATATTGGCCACCGCCTATTAGCACATAGCTCTGCCAGCTGTCAGCCTGCTGCTGTTGTTGCCCACTCACTCCCGGGCTCGTACGCGCGCTAACCCATGCCTGGTTTGCCTGACTTTCAACAACGAATTCGTCAGCCCACGCCGATGTGCCGATTGTCGTCTCCTCAGGCGGCGCCTTGGTCAGTACGGAACTATGGACGTGTGCGTTATGTACTCATCACCGCGCTGTCACTTTTGGGTCCCCGATTTCGCTCGGGGCGTGCGGCCCCTCCCCTCCCCTCCGCTCTGCTCTGCTCTTCGGTCTGGATCAGGTCAAGCCGAAATAAACCTCTTCGACCGCTTTACTACCCGTGTATGTGAAGAAGTCCCCCCGACGATGCTCCTCTTTACCAGGCACCTGCAAGTCGCCCCCTCCCTTCCTCTCTCTTCCCCCGCCCCCCCCACCCCAACGCCCCCACAGCGCGGGATATTACTGCCCCAATGCATCTGTCAGCCTGGAGTGTCCTAAGGGCTACTACTGCAAGGCCCAGTCCACCTCTCCGGTCAAATGTCCGCTGCTGACCCACTGCCCCAGGGGCACCACAGTGCCGGCCCTGAGCTTCATGGCACTTGTGGTTGCGGCTATTGTGGTGAGACACGGCATCTCGCCCGTGTGCAGACGTGCGTGTGCCTCTGCCTGCCATCGTGTTCCGTCCTCTCCGCCAGTTTTCTGCCCGTGGCCCTGACCGTTAATTAGAGCAGAAGAGAGAGGCAGGGCAGGGCAGGGCAGGGCAGGGCAGGGCAGGGCAGGGCAGGGCAGGGCAGGGCAGGGCAGGGCAGGGCAGGGCAGGGCAGGGCAGGGCAGGGCAGGGCAGGGCAGGGCAGGGCAGGGCAGGGCAGGGCAGGGCAGGGCAGGGCAGGGCAGGGCAGGGCAGGGCAGGGCAGGGCAGGGCAGGGCAGGGCAGGGCAGGGCAGGGCAGGGCAGGGCAGGGCAGGGCAGGGCAGGGCAGGGCAGGGCAGGGCAGGGCAGGGCAGGGCAGGGCAGGGCAGGGCAGGGCAGGGCAGGGCAGGGCAGGGCAAACTAGTTTAGAACGGATTAAAGCCAATTGAGTTTGAGAGAGACGAATCGCAGCAGGAGTGAAGAGCGGCCAGGGAAGCAAGCCGGATGCAGGTGTCAATGCTCTGGTCGTGTGCGAGGAGCGCATGCGCACGGCCCATATGCCTCTATTTCCATATTACCTCTATGTCTGCATGCCTCTATGTCCATATGCCTCTACTTGCTCCGTATGCGTCTTTATTCGTATGTCTATATGTCTGTATGTTTACAGATTTGTCATACGTGCACATACGTGTGTGTGTGTGTGTGTGTACACAACATCCGCTGGCCAGTCGGGACCATCCTGGCGTCGATACATACCTATTATCTGCTGATCATCATTTGTAATGATCATTTTCCCATTTCCCCTTTGCCTGCCTCCTTATTCCCCTCCTCCCATCTCCCGGCCTCTCCCAGATTTTTAGTATTCCGTTACTGCAGCTGGCGTTCACCCATCTAGATAACTCCATCATCGTGGATGCGGACGAGGACAGCGACAAGCGGGCGCTACACCGGGCGGCAGTGGCCAGCAGAATGACATTCAGGCTTTTGAGTGAGTCGGGAATATAGTGAGTGGGTGAATGAACGAGTCAATAAAGTGTATGTGTGTGTGTGTGTGTGTGTGTGTGTGTTTGTGCTACACCTCGGTTGCGTTACCCAGAGAGGTGTGACGAGCCAGCCCATACACGAGCCAGATAGAGGCCCAAGCGCCTAAGAGCTACAAGTTCGGTAAGGGACATATTACAATGCAAAAGTATTTCTGCTACGTAACACGGAAAGGACAGCAGAAGAGGAACAGCAGAGAGTGTGAATGGGTTGCAGGTGTGACGGAAGGTTGGGTCCCAGGGAAGACTCCACTGTGTGTGGCGGGACCCAAAGAGAGTTAGAGTGCATCTAGACTGAAACCGCGGATAACGGCGGCACCCAGTTCTGCGGTTTATGAGGGTCGTGTGCCTTTAATGTGGCCTCTAATCCACTGAGCCAGGCGAGTACGGCAAGGAAATAAAGCTGTGCGAACGTGTATAGGGGCCTTCATGTGTAGGTGTTCTTAGATGCTGTAAGTATGCCGTACATATAATATGCCGTACGTGAGAATGGACGTCCCAGTGTCCGGCAGTCGCGCTCGAATAGTCGTAGGCAGGGCTTTAATCTTATGGGATATGTGGCGGCGGGGTGGTGGCTGTTGTTGTTGTTCATAGCATGGAGATATGCACGTGTGTCGGGTTTGCCTCGGGGGATTCGGGGCTTTGGCAGTATGAGCGAAGGTCGACGCGAGTGAGACGAGCAACGTCTACGTGTTGAACACGTGTTGAATCCTGGACTGCTGCTATTTCCGGGGCCCCCGCCGCCCAGCTGCGCGATGGTACCAACCGAGACGCAGATCACTGGTTAACTAACAACGAATCATAACGGAATCATAACGGACCGCAGAGTCGATCAAGGTCAGCAACCAGAGTGCGCTGGAGAACAAGTATCGTGGTTTCGGAACCGTGTCACCGCCAATTACCATGGAGTTTGAAAGTCTGGGGCTGCGGATCCGACCGCGCGGTGGGGAGGTCAAGAACGTGCTTATGGGAGTGTCGGGCTCCTTCGCGCCTCGGCGGCTGAACGCCATTTTGGGACCATCGGGGTGCGGCAAGACCACTTTCCTGAACGTACTGTGCGGCAAGGTGAGCGGGGAGCGCATATGGATGGGGGATGGGGACTTGGTCAGGTGCTGCTGTTTGGCGGGGGGCCCGGGAGTGGGCAGTGTTGGGGGACTCGCGGAGCACGGTGCTTTCGAGTCGTGGTTTGGCGGGTAGAGGGGACTCGTGGGCGTTCTCGGCTGGGCTGGACAGATCGGGCAAGGCTGCGTCGTCATGTAAAAACGCAAGAGGGTGAGGAGCTCCGACGCGCTTGCTAGAGTTGCAAGCCCTCTTCCCATTGTGACCCCGTTGCTTTTTGCAAACACATGCTATCCTTTCAAACAGAACCTCGTGTATCAACTCCGTGTGTGTTTTACCCGCGCCTGGGCCCCTCTCTCTCCCTCGCCGGTATCTACCCGCCAGATCTCCAATGGCACTCTCATGGGCCAGGTCCGCATCAACGGAGAAGACATCCCAATTGATAAGCTAAAGAAGATAATGGGATTCGTACCGCAGGTACGGCATTAGGACAGACGGTTTGCTCTGCACTGACGACTCCTAAGGATGGGTTCACTCGGCGATGTAACGTGTGACTGGCACAAGTACAGCAATCCACAAAAACTAATGGATAATACATACGTGTATGTGTGTGTTACACCTCGGTTGCGTTACCCAGAGGGTTGTGACGAGTGCATGTATAACACTGTGTACGGGTACGGGCGTAAGTGATTTTAGGTCGTGAAAGAGTGTACCGGGGGCAGTCTGGGTATGGGATAAAGGCTCGGAGGGAAGCAGCTGCCGGTTCAGGTCACCTTCGCGTTCAGGCGATACGTTGGTAACCTACCTGCTTGTCCTCCATCCGTCGGTCCGCTGAAGATATTGGAAAGGCGCAATGCTCAGAAAAAAGGGGGAGGGAATCAATGCCCGCTTTCGATTTGCCGCGGACTTCGGTACACCCGTGGCACACCTTTTTTGGAACGTGCACCCCCGCTGCGTCCCGTGGCTTGGCCTTGTACGACACCATACATCTTTGCTTTTACGTTGTGCGTAAACAGGATGATATTGTACACGAGGACCTGACGGTACGTGAGAACCTGAGCTACTCAGCGCGCCTGCGGCTGCCGTCTGATATGGCGCGCAGTCGACGGCGGGACATCGTGCATGATGCCCTGGAGATGCTGGGGCTCTCCGCCATCCAGCACTACCGGGTGAGTGAGCCGCAGTCGGGGTGAGTGAGCCGCAGTCGGGGTGAGTGAGCCGCAGTCGGGGTGAGTGAGCCGCAGTCGGGGTGAGTGAGCCGCAGTCGGGGTGAGTGAGCCGCAGTCGGGGTGAGTGAGCCGCAGTCGGGGTGAGTGAGCCGCAGTCGGGGTGAGTGAGCCGCAGTCGGGGTGAGTGAGCCGCAGTCGGGGTGAGTGAGCCGCAGTCGGGGCGAGTGAGCCGCAGTCGGGGTGAGTGAGCCGCAGTCGGGGTGAGTGAGCCGCAGTCGGGGTGAGTGAGCCGCAGTCGGGGTGAGTGAGCCGCAGTCGGGGTGAGTGAGCCGCAGTCGGGGTGAGTGAGCCGCAGTCGGGGTGAGTGAGCCGCAGTCGGGGTGAGTGAGCCGCAGTCGGGGGGAGTGAGCCGCAGTCGGGGGGAGTGAGCCGCAGTCGGGGGGAGTGAGCCGCAGTCGGGGGGAGTGAGCCGCAGTCGGGGGGAGTGAGCCGCAGTCGGGGTGAGTGAGCCGCAGTCGGGGTGAGTGAGCCGCAGTCGGGGTGAGTGAGCCGCAGTCGGGGTGAGTGAGCCGCAGTCGGGGGGAGTGAGCCGCAGTCGGGGGGAGTGAGCCGCAGTCGGGGGGAGTGAGCCGCAGTCGGGGGGAGTGAGCCGCAGTCGGGGGGAGTGAGCCGCAGTCGGGGGGAGTGAGCCGCAGTCGGGGGGAGTGAGCCGCAGTCGGGGGGAGTGAGCCGCAGTCGGGGGGAGTGAGCCGCAGTCGGGGGGAGTGAGCCGCAGTCGGGGGGAGTGAGCCGCAGTCGGGGGGAGTGAGCCGCAGTCGGGGGGAGTGAGCCGCAGTCGGGGGGAGTGAGCCGCAGTCGGGGGGAGTGAGCCGCAGTCGGGGTGAGTGAGCCGCAGTCACACGAGCAAACGCAGGAGCTACTCCGGGGGGTTGTTAATGGAGCCCGTTGGTTCAATAACAACAGGGCTTTCCGATCGTTCATGTCGTATTACAGTTTGGTGTCGGATGATAGAGCTGTGGTTTGTGCAGCTATGGAGGCACGAGGACGACGCTCTGTGACGACTTTACTTAGGGCATCATTTTTAGGGCATCGTACTTCTCGGTCCTTCAGGTGACTGAGTGCCCGGTGGATGGGCTGGTTGACTGAGTGGCTGCGCTCCCCGCGGTTCTCACCCCCCCTGTGCCGGTAGGTTGGCACAGTAGAGCGTCGAGGCATCAGCGGCGGTCAACGCAAGCGAGTCAACATCGGGCTGGAGCTGGTGGCCATGCCATCCCTGCTTTTCCTTGACGAGCCCACCAGCGGTCTGGATTCCACCTCATCTGCAGACATCCTAGAGTAAGTTTTAGGGTTTTAGGTTTTTTTCCGCTGGGGTTTTACAGTTTTATGCCTAGGTTTGCCCTGAATTGTGTACGTTTGTATGGTCAATAGCAATTATGGAACGCGGGTCAGGTTATTGGAAGGTTGGAGCGTTGAAAGGGGAAGTTAGGTTGGTGGCGGAAGGCCAAAAGGCTGTCAAGAGAGGAGTGATACAGCAAAGTCGGGCGTGACAACAGCTGGTGCGAGCCAACAGATTGTTGGAGCTCTATATCTGGATTATAGAAACGGCAGGTTGCAACAACTGCTACTTGGTGCGATTTCGTTTTCCACTCTTGTCGGTGCCTTCTCGAGCCCTACTCGGGTCGCCGTCCGGTAGCTAAGATCTAGCTACGTCTGGCTCATGAGGACATATTTATTTTTTGAGTCTTACCTCTATTTGATCTTCGCTGCCATCCATCAAATCTGCTGCCCCGTCCTTTCCTCCCTCGCCTTCATTCCGGCGGCCATTATTTCATCGTTTTTCACTCCACCGGCCATTATTTCATCATCTCTTTGGGATTTCTTAACTGTTTTAACAGCTCGCTGGTGGATATGGCGAATCTCGGAATGAACATTATCATGGTCATCCACCAACCTCGCTTTTCCAGCTTTCTTATGTTCGATCAGGTAAATTGCGGCATGCGCCGACAATCCTTTTCGAATTTATTTCTGCAACCAAAAGTTTATTCACTAAGCGGTTTGGCCAAAAACAAACCCTTGCATCGTGCATCTTGGCTACTGCTGTTCACCCGGGCAGCTGAAAACGGGTACTGCCTAATCGGTTGGCCCCCAATATGGTATGGGCCTGACGAACCGAAAAACAAGCGGCTGAACCGATAGCAGGACCAACCGATGGCAGAGCAGCTGATGAAAACTCAGTCTTGTCCGCTTTCCTTGGGGGCTTGGGAAGCAAGCAGGGCTGATAGGTAACAAGTATTGCATGTCACCGCCAAAGTAGCCATATCCTGGGGATGACGACTTGCAAATGAATCGCAAGGTCGCTTGGCTCGCTGAGAGCAGCTTTGGTAGCTCAGCTCCTAAGTAGGGTCCGAGTCCGTCCCCGGCTGGTTGGTGGTTAATGGCCCTGTGCCATAGTAATGCGAAATGCACAGCCCGACATGTGCAAATGACCTGATGGCACCTGAGAGGGGCCTTATGCACCGCTGCATCTGCGTGAGGGGCTAACTGGACGGGGGCCCGCTTTGAGGCATCGGGCAGGCGCCGTGTGGGACGGGGGTATTGAAGGGTTTGCCACCGGCAACAGCGTAGCCGAGGGGCCCACGGTCGAGCTGCCTTAGCTTCATACATATGCTCTTGCCAGTATGACATATAACGGGCTTAGAGGGAGCAAGGGTGCCCATCCGCAATCCCACAGAATGTTGCCGGCTGACGTTTTCGTTCCACGGCCGCCTCGATCGCAAAACAGGTTCTGTTGCTGGGCGGCGGCGGGCACACCGTGTATCTTGGTAGCCCCTCGGCCGCGATGCTCTACTTCACCAAATACTTGGGCTACGAGTAAGTGTCAAGGGCCAGCTTAGCCGACGCGAACGGCAGAGAGCTGCGTCGGCCCATTTCCCAGGAATCCATGTACTGCAGTGCTGAGGTGCATGGATGGCGCTATTGCCCCGAGGGAAACGGACTGCACACGGACTCTCCTTTGTTTTTATTCGCGTTTTTATACAGACGGACGGCTGCGCATCCATGCACTTGAGGCTTCGTACGGCATGGAGGAATGCTTTCGTAGGCACGCATGAAAACGCGGGACGTGGTGGTGTCCTAAGACAAATCTCCTCTCGCCGGAGCAGCTCGACCTTTCCCTAAAATCCCCAGCTTTGCTTCTTGAACACGGATTGGTCTTTCTTTTTTATCTACAGGCACTACTACCGTACTACCTACTCCCGTACTACCGTATTTATACTAGAGATATGCTCTGAGCGCATGATTGACCAGTAATGTGTCTACTGCTTCCCCCCCCCCCTCATTCGCCCCTGTCAGTTTTCCGGAGCGGGAGAATCCCTCAGATATCCTTATGGATATCATCGCGGGCAAGGTGCCGTGCAGCGGGGAGCCCAGGTGGGTGGCTGGGGGGGGGAGTCTGTAGTGAATGTGAATGTGAATGTGGGCCCCTTCGGCCACACCAGGTTGTGCCTACCATCTCCTGCCCTCAGACGGCGGGTGCTCAATCCACATCACGTCACGTCCTATGTCATGTGCCGACTCACCCTCCGCGCCACTCACCTAGCCGTCTTTCAGGTTTTTCAGGTGCAGAGTTTTCACAGTCATATTTCATCCCAGCTACAATAATTATTCTCTCATTTCATGATATTCGTGAATTCGTTCCTGGACGTCCTTCCCGTATCCATTCCCCTCCAATCCCCCCCCTGAACATGGCCTGGCCGCTTGCCCATGGTGCGGTACGGTAAAACGGTGCTGTACGGTGCGGGTGTGGTACGGTGTGGTGCTGTGATGTACGGTGCGACGCTGTACGGTTCCCTATACTTCAGGCTAAAGACGTGCGCCCAGCTTGTGGAGAAGTGGACCACCGGTGGTATGGCCTGGGTGGAGACTTTGGAGACTCTCAACCCTACGATGGTCACCAAGATGAGCGAGGTGGACCCAAGGATCATCCTGGTGAGTCAGTATGTATGTATGTATGTATGTATGTATGTATGTATGTATGTATGTATGTATGTATGTATGTATGTATGTATGTATGTATGTATGTATGTATGTATGTATGTATGTATGTATGTATGTATGTATGTATGTATGTATGTATGTATGTATGTATGTATGTATGTATGTATGTATGTATGTATGTATGTATGTATGTATGTATGTATGTATGTATGTATGTATGTATGTATGTATGTATGTATGTATGTATGTATGTATGTATGTATGTATGTATGTATGTATGTTATGTATGTGTATTAGGTATGTGTAAGGTATGTACTAGGTATGTTTTTAATAATCTGCGTTGCGAGGAAAGGGAAATGGCTGGCGTGTGTGTGAATGCGGGATGTTTGTGGGCGGGAGGGAAGTGAGGATGGGTGTATGGGGGCCGGGAAATTGCGAGTTTCCAGACGCGTCGGTGGGGGAGGGTAAGGAAGCGAATGACCCATGGCTGAGGCCGCACAGGACTCTCCCGGACTTTCCCCACCTAAATGCGGCCCGACTGAATCCAACACATTCCCCGAACTCAATCCGGCCCACCAAACACACACACACACACACACACACACACACAGAACGCCAGCTCTTGCTCCCGACTCAGATCATAAATCCCTAAAACCCTAACTGTTAGTTATTACCCGCACGCTTTCAACCCGTGCACCCACTCCACAGGCTATCGACGAGGAGTTCGACCAGCTGGATCAGGATGGGACGGGTCAGATCAATGCGGTGCAGGTCCGGACCTTAAAGAGGGCGCGGGTGTCTATTGTCGGGGGCCCACTTCGAGTGGTGAAGCGTGTAGGGGGCGGGGGCCCCAAACCCCCTACAGCCAAAGTACCGAGTTGTCGGATCGGATAAGTGCAAGTGCATCAGGCGCAGGCGCAGGCGCAGGCACACGCCCACACGCCCACACGCCCACACGCCCACACGCACCCACGCCCACACGCCCATACGCACCCACGCCCACACGCCCACACGCCCACACGCCAGATGTCCGCTGTACAGTTTCGCAACACGCCGTACACCACCCCGACCCTTTTTTCTGCGGTTACGTAGCTCGTCAGCCTCTTCCTGGCGCTGGGTCAGGAGATCACCCTGGACGACGCAGCGATCCTAATTCGGAAGATAAACGCCCATCGGCCTGCATCTGCGAAGGCGGCGGCGCGCTCATCACGCGGCAACAGCGCTGCGTCGCATCGCTCGGGGATAGGCAATGCCGATGGTAGGTGCTGTGAAACAGCCGTGCCAAAATAAAAACCACGGCCGCAATCATGGGCACACTTGCTTTCCCCCTCTGTTTGCCTTCCACCGCTGGAAGGAAGCTTGCCACTCGGAGGCGTTCTGATTCGTCAAGCGCTGGGGGAACGTCCTAAGTGCCTTCACCACGCGTTCGCCCATATCTCGGGCCAGTTATTCCGGGCCAGGGTTTGACTCGTAGGGGTCACCACCACCAGGACGCTATACAACCCGCTGGCCAAGGATGCTGCCAAGCGTTTGGCAAGTGCGTCTGTGCAGCTTGTGAAATTGGAATCCTTTGGATGAAATCTTTGTTCCCAACATGTCCATTTTCTCTCACTCTCTCTCTCTCTCTCTCTCTCTCTCTCTCTCTCTCTCTCTCACACACACACCCTCACACACACTCTCTCTCTCACACACACACACACCCTCACACACACATACCGTGCTGCAGGCCTGACGGTCACCAAGCAGCAGCTCCTGGACGCCTTCCAGAACGTGCGGGAGGCCAACGACGAGGGCAACACCGACGGCGCCATTCAGCGCAACGCTGCCGCCAAGTTCTACGCCTCGCACTTCCTGCTGCCTGATCTACCGGAGGTCAAACCCTATCGGTGAGTGCATATGGGAAGCCAGGGCTGGCGCCGGCGATAACGCTGATGGCGGGTTGAGACGCGAGGGGAGCTGGGGATGCGTCCCGCGCCGTGCCTTGGCCTGCCCTAGCTAGTGGGTTTCGTCCTCTGCCAAACGTGACGGCCAGACCCGCCTACCTCCACCACCACCAGGTTGAACATTGGGCGCCGGCGGCGAATCAATACTAACCGACAGAACAGCCTAGGCGGTGACGAAAATCGACCAAGCAACTCAGGTTACGAAAGTATCAGTAACAACAGCCGTATGGGGTCCGGTTCCTTAGGCTATAGCAGCAGCCGTTACGGCGGCGATGCGTTGGACTCGGACAGCTACAGTGTCGTTGGACCGGACCAGTACGACAGAATCAGCGCGACGCCTGTTGTGGAGAGCATCATGCGGCGAAGCATCCTTGCCCCCAGCGGCGGCGGAGGCTGCTCCCCTGTTGGCGGCGGTGTCGGCGGGCGAATGAGTCGCGGCGGCAGCCCTCGCAGCCGCAGCGGCGGCAACCGCACCATCCGCGCAGCCGCGCTGCTGCCAGGGCTTACGCTTAATGGTAGCGCCACGTCAGCTGCAGGCGCCGCCGCCGGCGACAGCGACGGCGTCCCAAACGGCGACCTAGGTGCCTTTGCGGCGCGTCAGCGCTATGCTGCTGCTGCTGCTGCTGCAGCGGCGGCGGCGGCAGCACGCCGGGACTCGGAGATTTCCGCTGCCGCTGCCAAAGCCGCCGCTGCCGCCAGCGCCACAGTCCACGATGAGGACGAAGAAGGCGAAGACGGTGGCGATGGCGGCGGCGGCATGCGCGGGTACGACAGCCAGTGCGTGATGGTGGCACGCGGCGTGGTGGCGGAGAGCCTGGCAGCGATGGAAGCGCTGGCGCATGCAGACGTTCCGCTGCCGCAGCTGCCGCGACGTGTTGAGGCACGATCCGCCGAGCATGGTGGCGGGCGCGACCGACGGAACTCCAAGGCCTTCGCGAATATCGAGTCGTACGTCAAGGCGTACAACGAGCTCGCGACTCAAAAGTCCGAGAGGAGCAACCGTTCAAGCGTCCTTCGAACCCAGCTATCCACACAAGCTGGCCTGCT